CTGCGTGAACACCACGTTGGAAGTTCCCCGTGAAAAGTGGTGGTGCCGGAAATTAATTTCCTCTTGCGACAGCTTCGCGCTGTCACCTAATCATCTTTCCCATAATCCGATGGATGAATCCTTGATGATTCCCTCGGCTCGGGCCGAGTATCTTCTGGTTTACCCGAGAAAATGCGACGCAAAAAACGAAAAAAAAAAAACGCCTGGAACTGAGCAAACCTGAGGACTGCGCCCTGTGCACAGTAATCTTTCATTTAACACTTTATTGCTTAACGGAAACCGATCTCCCGTTATTTCTCCTGAAAACGTTTTATTTCTTTGGAAATTGTAGCAGGACTGCGTCAAGATACAGTCGGTAATTAGGCGTAGAAGTCTTTCAGGAAACACTATATTTATAATTTTTTCAGCATCAATAAAATGTATGCATTCTGCCGAAAATCTCGCAAGAATTACACAAATTAGTCTGCGGCAGATTCTAATTCCGTGCCGCTGAAAGTAGTCAACTAGTAGTTCCTTCAATGTTTCCAACCGAGAGCTGATCATGTAATGCACTAGCATTTTTGAAAGTATGTTTTCATTTTCTGCTTCCTGGCTTCAGCAGCCCAGAATGCCGTGCGCCGGGGAGGATTATTATCTTGCATAGATCAATGAAATATTTCAGTGGGCCTAGGATTAATTTTATTATTATCGGATTGCTTCTTCATCCTTTCATTTCAGCGCAGCGTTACTTCGTCAAATTTATTTCTGATTTCATTCTAAAGCACCGCAGAAGTTTCTCAGATTTTTAGGATTTTGTTTTCACCCCTGAAAAAGTTGACCGAATGTGCCATGTTCTTTGTGGTCAGATTTTAGTTTAGGATTCTACTAATGCGAACGTGGAGTATGGGCGTTTACGGGTTGCTGATGTCACTTCTACCATTGCTTTCATTCCATTCTCACAAGCAATCATATAAAATTTTAAAGCAAAAGAATTTTCAAACTGTGCACGGAAACCACAGTGCTTCGGAGAGCCCTGCAAATACAACACTACCTTAAGAAAATATTTTACCACCGACAAAACTACGAAAAAATAAAATTATTGAAAAGGTACTCGGAAAATAAATCCCGGTATAGGTTTAATATATACTGCAATTTTACTACAGTATGAAGTTCAAATGTGCTTGATTGAGAACGATTTTTTTTTGCCCTCAAGAGAGTCGGAATCCGTTTCTTATCCATTCATGATCATTCAATTACGTAAATGTACATGTAAATTTATCTTAAGGCTTGCAATTGAACAGCATCATCAAATCATGAGATGGCTGATCCAATTTTAATCTGTAAATGATTAATCAAGGAATTGATTACCTCTTGAAGTTATACGAATGTGAAAGCCAGATTATGGATTGCAAAGCGTTGCCTGAAATATCGATCTTTTTTCTCTGTCTTGATAATACTGTACTCTGTACGGTCATTTCCAGTCAAAACGAAATAATCATTCTAATCTTTGATTAGCAGCATCCTTAAAAAAACATAAATGTAATGCATGTATCGAGGACGTCGCACTTTCCATTCCCGATTTCGGCTGCCCGAAATAAAATCGCGACTCCGAGCCTGACGTCAATCATGATTTCACATTCTCGAAGCCAGTCATCTAAAAAAAAAACAAGTTCTGGAAAACTCCGGGGCATTCGGTAAGAAACCGTACCTCGCATCCACGATGAATCAATTTTACCACTTCGATGAAATGAAGCACAGCCTGAGGCCCTTCGAAAGAAGTGCCTTGAGCATCTAAGGCGCATGAATGTAGTGCATCTCTTCGGCGGCCAGACATCGGAGATGGAGATTTTCATCAAAGGGAGTCCTTTCCGCGTTCTTCTCCGGGTAACATTCGCTCCATTCCAGAAACCGAAAAGGCAGAAGAAATTCCTTGCGCGTGGGTGTTTTATGCTGCAGCACTGGGCTGATAGAAGCCGTGATTTCGGACTGGAAATTGAATGAATCGAACTAGCAGTGATTTTTCCTTGCCTTCCGGTCGATGATTCCGTCTGCTCTGATGAAGCCCTCACGTCGAAAACGAAGTAATTTCTTGACATCTTTGGAAGCTGCTTATCTCGAATGCATGTGCAAAAAAAATTCCTTTGGAAACGACTGTAAAACAAAACATTGGTCTCGACCTGAATCCCCCGTGATGCAGACCGGATGATTCGAAAATATTCGGTACTTGGGAAACTTTTATTAGACTGAACAGCTTCATTACCGCGAAGGTTTCGAATTGGACGTTTCCATTGGACAGTATACAGTACTGTATAACCAAAACATTGGGCAAACAGTTCGGAGGGAATTCCCCGTAACACCTTCAGTACTGCTTCTCAACATACGCTCGGTGGGGACCTAATTCTCCGCGATCAACCCCAAGAGAATATCTGGCATAAAATGCAAATGAAGAGATATGTATCAAGATAAAGAAACGAAGAATTATGGCCATCGAGAAACGGAGTAGAACTCCCTGTTCGTAGTTACTGCATTTTCTCGAGGCGAATCAATGCATCATTAAGTTGCAATATATGGAGTATAAATAATCGATTCGACTTTAGGGATTATTATTATTAATGAAATAATGACTAAAGAAGTGAAAAGGTTGGGGAACCCTGCCTTAGTGAGTGAGAACCCTCTGTTTTAACCGGAACTTTTCCGTTATAGGTCAATCATAGGAGATGGTGCAGTTCAACAATATATTCTTCCCGTCGAAATTTTGCAAAATTCTTTTGTCAAGTACATCTCCAGAAACGCCATTCGATAAAAATCTGAAAGCTATTAAGTGGTTATTCGAAGAAAATGATGAAATACGCTATTTAAAGTCAGTCTTTTCATTCGATGAACTCTCGAGTATGAGAAAATTGAAATCCAATGTCGAACATTTTGAATCAATATCTCTTGGAGGAACTCTGCAGTAAAACGCCACCACGTCTATACGATTCAAGATAGAAGTACAGTACACGGTTGTTTTAATGAATCCAAGAATTGGCTAGTGATCGATTTGGATGGTACATTACAATGCTGGAGGTGTTTCAAAACAGTGTACTCTCTAGATTGCGGAATAACGAACGTTGCTGGCTTGGAATTGAATCAAAGTGACATTGATCCAATTTATCGTTACAAATAAGTTGATTTCAGTTTCAATTTCGATAACCTTGAGTATTTCACTGTCTTTTGATCATCAGACGTACCAGATACCGACTACTGATGCTTCAATTATATATTTTATTCAGTGTCATTCTAGTGTTAGATTTTGCGCTGTCGTCGACATTATTGTGTCAGTGACATGAATGATCCTGGCATTGTTCATAAAGCATTAAGGCACATGTCAAAAGAGAAGAATAATCTCTTCTCGCGATATTTCCAGGATGAAGTACTGTATCTCAGTTTCCATACTCTTCGGGCAGCATCGATGTTCAACGGAAGTTTAAGGGAAAATATTCGACACATGAATGCTTGATTGCAATGTCTGAGAATGTGATGAGCTACCTTCTATGAAAATCTGTATATGGCGTGTAAAGGCGAGGTACTTGAGCAGATACGGAAAATAAATACTTTACTTCATTGCAAACACAGGTATTTCTGGCAGGGATTTGAAGGAAAATAAATAAGCCTCTAAATGTGAAATTTCGAAAGAAATGGTAAACTTTGAGAGGTTCATGCGCTTGCTAAATCTTTACACATTCCTTGAAGAATCTTCATTGTTTCCCTAGGATACCTAAATGTTGTACTGTATAATCTTGGATTTGGGCCGCACCTTTGTGACGACAATGTGACCTATGCTCGAATATCTCAATTATGGGACGAGCCAGATATTTGAGGTGCATTTTGAAAGGGAAAAGTTGGAAGGCAATGACCAAAACATCATCAAACGTCAGCATTAGGCAGAACGCTATTGTACAGTACTTCATATATGTTGGGGACAAAGGTCGCCACAACAATTTTGAAGAGTTTTGTAGAAAGATTTGAAGTTGAAAATGAAACACGGACTCAGCCCGGGACTGGGGCCGGGAATCCTTGGTGGGATTCCTCAAGTTAAAGTTTTAAATATATTTCAGAACGTCCCAAATGAAAAACAGACACAAAGATTCACAAGAGAAATTTCGTAAGTCTTTAAATTGGATTGAAAATCAACCTCTTGCAAAAACCTCCGAAACGCACTGCAACGCAGCAAACAACAGACTGATGATGTGATAGGGCTAATTTGATCTTTTATTGATTTTCAGGATGTCTCCTTGATCCAAGATGTGATCAAGGGCAAGGGTTGGCGCCAAGGCGTCTGATTGGCTCGAGAAAGTCGAGTCGAAGACGTCTTGGCGCCAAGATTTTGATTTTTCGGAGGGGGTGAATCGTTAGAGTGAAAGTTCGTTGGCGGATGCTCTACTTTCTTCTTGAGCGGTTTTTTCCGCTCGATTTATATCAATTTTAATTTTATATTTTAAGGGATGCGCAGCGAGTCCCCAACAATATATACAGCGCAACATTCTCACATGCGTGACCACATGAAATGTACATTATGCATCTGATCTTATTGGGTGTATTATGTAAGTATGCTTGACTTGCGCCTGTGCAAATAAGGTGACTGAACGCGAATCACGGAAGTTTGTACTAAAAGTAGCTGCTAAAAAGCGTCAGCTTCAGGTGATTAGGAAGAACGTCATTGTTCCCTGCGCGCCGCCGCGAGACCAAACTGAAATACAGTATCGTTAAGTTTTATCGTGTTTATAAGGCATCCATGAGCCATCCAGAAACCAAACCTCGGCTATGCATGAAAAGCTTTGGATTTTATTTCAAAGACGCAAGCGGAAAGGGAACCAATGCTGCAGAGCAGGAGGAAGCTCAGCCAGTCTGCAAGGGGATGAGAGCAAGGGTGTTTTAATAAAAAAAAGAAGGGAAATACTTTACAGGGTATAAGAACTCCAGAATACTGTACGCCGGAAAGAGGAGGGCAAAGCCGAGCTGGTCCGGGTGTGGGGGGGGCGATGCATGCATCTCGCGGTCCCTTGAAAAGCAGCGGCGTTTCGCGGCGGCGGAAAAGCGCGGCGCTCGGCCCGAGTGCCGCTAGTCATCCGCTAGTTGCTGCCCGAGCAGGACGAGAAGCTGCGCGTGGCGCCGTGACATGTCGGAGGTGCACGGTTGTCGGGGAGTCGCCGCGGCGCCGCAGCCTGGGGAACTTTGACCGAGCTTCTGTGACCCCGAGTTGTGTCGTCAATCGGCATGAACTTGTTTCGCCGCAGAAAGGCGAGTTTTGAGCCTTCAAAAAGCTCTGCTTCTTGGCCGGTGATTAGTGGTTTCGATACCAGTGAGCTTCCCGTCGCGAACGGCGTCCTCATGGCCTCAAACACTGAGGACAGCAATCTTCTTGCCCCTACATACCAGCGCAGGTAAGTCTATTACATTATACTGTACCTTTATCAACGCAATATAAAATATAATGTTGAATGTCCGAAGAGTTACTGTGCTATGCGAATCACAGCATAAATTTGATTAGCAGGTCCATTAGTTGGGTGCTTTTATGTGTTAATAAATCATCACAGATGCAGTAATAAAATGCTGTAATTAAAAAAATATATGCGTATGTATCCACAAATACTCTGTCTGTATAAAGTATTTCATTCGGGCCGTTAAGCAGATCTTGAAGATAATTAACCAGGGTAAGTGCGTAATATTTGATCGTATAGGAACACCAGGCTTGAATAAAGATTTTCAGGTATTTTGGCAGTTTCCTCTCTCACTGATGCAAAATATGACTAGGAATAAAGGATTCCCAGTTAACATAGCCTGTATAATTGAAATTACTGTACATCATTCAACTCAAACCCACTTTCATTTAAACTTCATTCGAGGCTTTTCCGGGAATCTGGACCTAGTATGCGATCCGCGCATAATTTTTCCTGGAATTGTAGAAGATGCGAGAAAAGTCGCTGCCATTGCGTAATGGGTTCATGCTTCATCAAAACTACGGTGTTATACGTTCTAATACAGTACGCATTACTGTATTTGAATCGAAACTTACTGGCTTTCTCTCCACAAACCAAGATGTATCATCAGCTTAATGAGAGTTTATTATTTCAAGCAAGCTAGTTGTGTAAGTCGTTCATTAGGTTCTCGCTCCACGATGCCGTGAGTACACATCGTGCGGTATTCTATTTTCGTTTCGTTTCTCAATTTTATGATTGCTATTGTTGCGTGAGTCCAGGATTGCCACCTCGTGGATACGCGCTATCGATGCAGCGCGCGCTCAACTTCGCCACGCACTCATGTTTCCAACATGAACGTGTCACTGACGCGTTCACGCATCGATTTCATAGGCGAAAATCGCGTCCCGCGAATTTCTTGCGAAGTACTGTACTGTAACGGGTTGGGAGAATCGGTTTTCAGCTCCCCTTGTTGAAGCGTGGAACTGTGGGCCAGAGGCAGGTTCCTGCAATATTTCTCCCAATGAAGCACAGTAACTCATCACGAATGACTCCGCTTTATCGCACACATGTCAATTTAGATCATTTTTTATCAGTTTGGAATCCATCTTGCGAATTACAACATGTCTGGGAGTGTACCCATGCGTGGCGTCGCAGAAATTCTCGTGCTAAGAGTTTTTCGCCTGAATAAGTTTCTTGGGTTCCTCGGAAATACGCGTGAAAAGTGTTGTGCGCATTCACAAATTCCGGAATGTAGTAGTTGTACTTTCTTTCCATTGCATCGGAATGAATGCTGCATACCTTAGTATAGTACTGTAATCTCAATTAAATGTAAAATATAAATTATCCGAATCATTAATCCGACAAATTTCAAATTCTGGCCGACGGTTAAAGGTGAACAGTACCCAGACGAAACGCGCCCATCACCAATTGTTCTATACTAAGTGAATCAACTTCTGTCCAGCTCCTTCGCACCTGTCTGGTTTTTTGTTTCAGGATTTCGTGGTTTGGATGTGAATTGATCGAAAGAATCTATTCCGAGTAAGGAATTCATGACTTGTAATAAATGCATTTTCAAGTGATGGCTCGTTACAAAGAACTCGTCGAGTGCATTCCATGCAAACTTACAAAGCATTTCTCTTGTAAAACCGATTGGTTTAAATCTATACCCAGAATCATGAAACACTATACCTGTACTGTATGTGAGAAAACGAAGATTTCAAGCCAAAATTTATCCATTGATAGAAATTATAGTGAGTGATGCTTGCTTTTCGTCTGGGCGCTTTTGTTCTCGGTGCTTTCCATCTGCATCATTTTCCTCTGATGGGTTCCAGACGTTGTTCAGGTGCAAACCCTGATGATAGATTTCCGTGCCTCTGGGTCGAAATAATTTATTCTCAAGTTCCTTTGTCCGACGTGATCCGGCGTAGCTGCGTGCATTCGGAAATGCGATTGCAGTTTTTATTGTGGTTCCGTCAGCAAATGTCTGACAGAGTACTGCTGAAATAAGCCCGAGGCAGTTATCGCCCCGCAGTCACCGTAGTGTTCTGGCAGTGACCTTGCTCGTTCCTGTCCTGACGCAATTCAAACGGTCGGCCGCTATAAAGGCGCACTCGCTTGCTTCGTTCCTTTTTCACGGCTATTTCCCCCCTCCGAGTTGACGCAATTCTCGACCTCTGTATGAACTGAATAAGAAATATTCGCCCCTCTGCTTTGTTCGACACGGTGCTCAGCTTCAGGACCTCTCGTATCCGTGTCAGGAAAAGCGCCCCTGCCGCAAATATCACTCCATAAAAAGTTCCCAGGGCACATCACTCCATAACTGTTTGTTCTCTGAAGCACATTTTAGTGTCGTGTATGTGTATTTTTTTCATTTCCTCAAGAAACTTTACTTCAAGCGTTCGGAACTGGTTCTACCGGAATTTTTTATCCTGTTGAAAGAAAGAAACAGGAGGCGATGAAGGACGTAAAACTTCACTTGAAATTCGTTAAAAGTTATGCGTTTGAACACTGTTGATGCCCTCTCAAGTGCTTTTTGTCTGAGTGCGTTTCTTTGATGCTTTCGTTACCGAATGCCTTTTGCACTGAGGGGGTTTTTTTGTGTTTTTTTTTCCTGGTCTCCGTTTTGAACAGAATTTAGCTTCTTTACTTGTCCCGTTTCGGCGTCGAGCAAAATCGTGAGGTAGAGCCGGAGAAGGAAACAGACAATACGGGCTCTGTGAAAAATGCGTCCCTTTCTGATAACGGCGGAGATTCTGGAAATACCACAGGAGGTTTGTCAGCAAGGCTTGGTGCTGGAGATTATTTTCTCACCGCCGATACGTCTGTCTGCCTGTGGGATGTGTTTGGGTAGCATCAGATTCGAAGGCATCTGCGGAATCCGCACTGATGTAAAACCGAAATTTGTTTTATCCAGTCGAGCTGATCAGTTTTTGAATGGAATAATTCAGGAGCATTTGCATTCGTGAAGTTTGACAGAGCCGTGGACTTCGGTTAAGCTAACGCAAAGCTTGAAATCAGCGAGGAATGGAAATTTCAGAGCACCTTTATTTCTCCCGAACACGTAGACGGAATTTCTGAAATTTTCCATGGTATTGATGCAGGATAACTCTTTTTGTCCGGCATTAGAATGACTTTTTGGCTCTGCTCGGCCAATGCAATATCTCGGATAATCTTGCTGAATCAATAATACGTGATAAAAATTCAAAGATTCAATAGTGGTTTAATCCTCTAGAAGTTCAAGTGGATCACAGAGAAAATGAAGAGGATCAACTTAAGTTACGCAGGCCACTTTGTTTCGTCTCATTTAGTCTACATTTATGATGATAGAATTCACTGTTGATCAAAGCCCGTATAATTGATCTCCTTGTATCTAAGATTTCACGAATTTGAAAACAGCTAAAAGAACTTTCCCCCGTATTTTCTGGAGTCCCGAGCCTCTTCAGGGATTGCGTGCTTGAATTGCTGGACTGTACTGGGACATTAAAGTTTAAGTACTGTCTAAGTCATTTTCAGTAAATTTTGATGGGATGTTTACTGTTTGAATGTTCCCTGGCGAATTCCCTGAAAGTAGCAAGCCTTTTCCAAATTGAGTGAGCATCGTTGCAGACGGCTGGATGTAGCTATTGATGATCAGGATTAGTGTGCCTCCTGCTGGCTATTCTGAATTTTAGGATTGAGATTTGCAATTCGGTGTTCGCTTGCAAAATTCCGGTGGCTGCACAATTCGTCGGTTTACTTGGGAGGGTATGTCATCGTTGGTTTCTCGCGTTTTGAACGAAGAAATCTTTTTGAAACAATCCTTGACCAAAATACTGTACTGTATACTATTTACTTTGCAATTGTCTTATGCTTGCGTGTTCACCAATGTCTAACAACTCGAGGAATCCTTTTGCTTTAAATCAATTCCGGCTGAAAAACTAAGCGAAATATTGAATCGGTCAAAATGTCTACATGTCTCATTTCCCAAATACATGCTTCGGGAAATTAATCTTTCAATAAATTTTGATTTTCCGTACAACCTCCAATTTAGAGCCACAAAAAAGACAGGGACGTGGTTTTAATGAAATGAACTGTTCACTGAACCGTTCCGAGAGAACACCTCACAGTAGAAAAGTACCCAGATTTCAAAAATAATCCAGGAGAAAGGAGCCCAGCAAGGATCCCTTGGTCGACGAACAAAACATTCAATTAACAATCTTTAGTTTCTAGGGGAAAAAAATCCCACTGCCATATATTTAAAAGTTGTTTATGAGGCTGAAATTAAGAGCACATTCTGAATTCAAGTAATGCATACTTGCACTGTTTCAAAAATGTCTCACTTGTAGCACTGTGATATGTGCAAGCTTGTGTTTAATTTGTGCGTGTGTTTTGATTTCAGCTGCATCTTTGTTTGCAAGTCCGTCACATGATTAGTTGCTTTTGTGTGCTTTGTGTTGTTCACTGTGTTCATGTGGTCGGATCTTATTTTCTTTTGTTGCCCAGAAACAAAGTTTCATGCAAAAAAGAAGCAGCTTTCTGTTTTTTCCAATACATTTTCCCGAAGAGAGACTAGAGTTCAATTCAGTAAAACAAGTGGCCATAGGGAAATTAATCCGGGTTCATTTTACTCTGAATGTTTTTTCACTATTTTTTTTTTTTTTACGTTTAGCCTGAGTGATTTTCGCATTGAGTGATTTTTGTCGCGAGTGTTCCAAGATCAGTAATTTTCTCTGACAGTGAAGTTTGATTCTTATTTTTAATGAGTGGCTTTATCAGTCAGTATTTAATGGTTTCCGGAAGATATGACGTATCTTTTGATTTAATTAAATAGCCCGTTTCTTTTTTATTGCAATATTTTTTGAAGCCAAGATGGATTATGCATTTGGAAAACACATCGTTCACTGTTGCGGGGTATGAACTAAGCAGGTTAAATATTTTTGAAGAATTTTCTTGACGACATCAGTTTATATTCAATTTAACTGAAGTTGAATGATACCGTATATTCCGAGATGACAATGTACGCGCAGGATTTTCACAGCTGCGCACCAGAGGACTCGTTATCGTCCGTTGCAGCTATTACTTGGGCCGATCGCGAGGAGCCCCTCCCGAGGTCAACGGAAAGCCCGCAATCAGCGCCGTGACCTAGTTTCCGGACGCGCCCGGGGTTTGAATGTCACGACTCCTTGTCCCGACTTATTATTTTTTTTAACCGTCAGAGCTCCGCGTCGGGTTTCACGGCTGTGGTAGACGTCAGGCGTGACTCCCGCGGTCCCGAAACAAACGCTCACCTTCTTCGTCGATATCATTCGCCAAGACGTTTTCTTTTTTATTCCTTGCTCACCGGGATGTTTTATTTGTCTTCCTTATCGGCCAAGATGTTCCTTTTCTTCTTTCGCATTCGCCAAGATGCTTCTTCTTTCTCCGTCGGCAGGACTCGCGCTGGTCTGTTTTCCATTTCATACTCCGCCGAGCGTGGAGGCGTAATGACAGCTGCGTCGCTCCACGGGTGTTCCAGTAACTTTCTTTCGACCGTTCTGCTCATGCAACTCCGGACCTTCGTATTATGCTCTCCTCGATTGAGAAGCAGGTGCTTAATTATCTTTAGCTCATAGTCGTTTCCTCAGCAAGCACGAGATCCAGTGGTTTTGCGATTTTTTTTTTCCACTTTCGGAAGCAACCGAACCATGCAATATTGAGACTCGAAGAGGGGAAAAAATCACGCGAATGGTCAGCGTTTATCTCAGTACTGGGAAAATCGACTGCTGCATCTTCATTTGAAACTGTGATGAGCATGAGTGTGAATAAGGCGACTGCCACTTTCGGTTTTCATCTGGCGTTCGGCCACTTTCAATTTCCTGCGTTCTGCGTTTGGTTTCGGTCCTGCGGGGATTCTTTGAAGTGGCCTTGGAAATTACTGAGAAAAACGCTCATATAAAACCGATGGGTTTATCATCACATTCGAAAACGCTTGAATAGCGATGGAAACCGGAACAGTGGTTAGGAATGTGCTTTCCGCCTGTAGGAAATCACATTCGATTTACCGAAGATTGGGCCGCATGAAATGCCAAAATATACCGTAGCAGTCATTTGATGATTACTTCAATTTTGATACAAAGCCCTATCTACGCAACAGTAAAAGAAACACTTCGCTGTAGAAATTTCATCTTGAAAATGCAAATACTGTACGTCTGTAAATTCGTATAAATTAGAAAGAAAGTTTTGGGAACACTGATCCAGGGATGTTTTCGATAAAAATGCATTAAGAGTTTCATTTGCTGGAGATTTTAAGTTTGGTTCAAACTTCACGAGGAGTTCGGGTTTTTATCTAGATGTATGCTGATGATATTTTTGATCATAGTGAGCACTAAAAAACTAGCCGCTCTATCTGAATTAAGCGCTGAAGGATTACTGTTAGTCTCGCTCCAATGAGAGAGATTACAATCCACTGCGACAAATCGTAGTTCTGGAAAGCGGAAACGTGACTTGAGTGGTAGAAAAAGATTTATCTTCTGAAGCGTTTAATTCGTCTTGCCTCTCGCTTTCTTTCTCCGTCTCTTTCATTTGTTTTTTCTCCAACTTTTCGATTTCCTCGTGAAAGGATACTGAAGCATTCTCGCTAGTCAGTTCCGACCCCAGATATTGCGCAAGCAACTCGACTCGGCATTTTTTACTGCTATTACCATTGTCCCTGGCTACTCTTCCTTGCGAAACACGACGTTCGTGACTTCGTTGCTGCTGGAAAAAATTACCCTGCTACTTTCACGAAATTCCGTCTGAATTTTCAACGACCCTCGCTGTTCGTCATTTTGGTTGATCCTGAAGTTCAGTAAACGAATGACTGATCTACCATTTTTAAGTTTTATATACCGCCCTGTAATTGTGGACAAGATCTTCGTAAGAAAGACGTGGAAGCGGCGACGTCGAAGTTTTGGAGAAAAATGCCTGTAGGCCACAAAAGCCAGAATGTCCTTTGAATCTCCTTTGAGACTTGGCGAGACCAAGGGACAGTTGAGGTCTTGAAGGTTTAGAAAAATAGCGCTGTAGTTTTTATTTAGCATTTAATTTGCATGTGTCTTTCCCCTTCTTTTTAAATAGCCTTGAGTATATGCGGAACATGTGGGATTACAATAGTGTGACAGATGTCTAATATTTTTTTCATGCAGTGCATCTCAGTTTTTGGGAGCCATCTCCTCTGGACAATTAGGGTCTGGAATCGCGTATAGGCTATTTTTAGTCCATTTTCACCGATTTACCTTTTCAGACTATTTTTCAGTTTTTTTAATCACCTACAGACTGTTTTCAGTATATTTTCGTGATCGTCATGTTTAATTAATTGGCGTGTGTATGATATTTGTACGTCACCAATATTTTTTAGTAAATCCTGCGGAGATGACTAATAAATACTCGTAACATTTGTATACGACGGAAAGCCTGAGACACTATCGTAGAAGTTTGGATGCATGATTTTACATTATTTCCAATGGATTGAGTTGATTTCAGGTTAATATACTGTACTGTGTTTTGAACTTATAAAGATAGAAGAGCCCCGTTTGACTGCTGGCAGGTATGAAATTTTTCATGAGAATCTCCTTTCGAATGCGTAGCGGTTTTGAATACGCATTTAACGTTTATGCAGAATGCATTACAAACTGACATTGAAACTCTTGTTGAATTAATTCATGGACTGTATGATATTCCGAGACTACCGAGAGCTACTTATGCACGGTCATCTCATACAGCAATGATGGTTTCTGTGCGGAAGTGCATTTGTATGTGATATTCAAATTAAGTTTGCTAATGCTGATTGCGTGAGTGCTGCCCTCGCATAATCATTCCGGAAACAGGAAACACGCACATCCGGGAAACGCATTCGTATAATTCCCTTTCGGCAGTCAATTTTACATACGCCAATGCTGAGCTACTCTTGCGAGCCTCAGTCGGATTCATACAATCTTTTGCAATATTATAATTGGCAGAAACAACGGTGTGAGGAACACATTTGTTCTATGGAAAAAATCTTGATACAAAGTAAAGTCTTCGTGTGCTTTTTTAGCATCCACCCAACTTCCCGGAAGAGGCTCTAATACAGGCTTTGTGTAAGGCATTTCCCACAGACTTAAGCGATGATAAAAAATAATTATTATTACCGCGGCATTTCGAAGAAACGTCAGAAGGATTGAAAAAGCCGTGCTTTGTTATCTTCGTCCCTGCCATTTGGTCTGCCGCGTGGGAATCGAGTTCCTGCGGTTGAAACAACGATCTTGTTCCTGTTGCATGAAGGCATAAGATACGAAAAAAAATAATTCAAGGCCTTATCTCAAATTAGGAGAACAATATCCACCTGGCAAGGGAAATGAGTATCCTCGATTCCCTTCAGTTTGCAGAGGAATTGGGCAATTATAAGGCCTCGGTGCTTCTTTTGTCCTCGCATTTTGAACACACTGAGGGTGGTCTTGCTTACAATGCAAGCGTATTTTCCTCCAGCAAGCAAACGCTTCATTGGTTCGCGTTCCACCGGAATTTCATGTGTACAGAACACAGAAAGAACCCTCGAAACCTGGGCCGATTTCTATGCAGTGATACAAGTCATTAAGTCAAAATTTCAAATTTACATTCATGAAATCGTCTTTGAAAAATGCTGTGCCTCTTGCTACTTCCGCAATGACTTTTCGAAAGGAAAACCCACAGAATGAACTTCTTCCACAAATGATCGTTGTTTGGAAATGATTGGCAACAGCCACTTCGGAAACACAAAGAGAATTTGAATTTTCGGAAGCCCAGAGTCCCATTCGAATTTTCTTTTGGTCATTTGACTTGAGGTAATTAGTTTCATTCCCAACCGCCCATGTATGTTTTCCTATTCCTTGTGTCGCAGTGCTTCGCTTGAGGGAAAAGTTGGATCGAACTGTGGTTCGTACTGTGAGTTTTTGCTTTTCTTATGACGTTTGTTGCTGAAGGCCCCACCACATAAGGCGGACCCTGATATTTAATAATACTTTTTGAAATAAAAATAGCGTCTCATACTGGAGGAAATGTGATAGGTGCTCTAGATAAGAGAATAAACGTGGACAATTTTGACACTTGAAGAATCATCAAGTCTAATTGATTGTTTACAGCGGTAGCGAGGAGAAATCAACACCGACAACGCCAGTCGGGTCGAAGCGGACGTCGACGAACACGTCCCCGTGTCCGACGAGTTCCACGACATCCAACGTTTCGGACAGAAATAATTCCCCGGCGGCGTCACGGGCCGCCCCGCCGCCCACCACTGCCGCCGCGTCCCTGGTTCGATGTGCGACTTACACGGCGACGGACTCGAATCCCTCCGAGCCTCCGATCGCTTTCAACGAGGATGAACGGTGAGTTGAGGGTTCCTTTTTTCTTCACCAGGTATCCGAGCTTTGTTTTCATGTATCTGCGCCGCGCTTCCCTGTCGGAAAACCCCGAGCCTCCGGAACCCCCCCCCCCCCCCCGACTTGGGCCACAAGGGCCACCGGAAACTTTGCGACAACTGTCCCACTGCTGTTGGCACAATTTCATTTTATGAAGCAATATTTATTTGACCTTGGTTTATGATAGCGCTTCGGGGTAACTCGATTACATGCCTACATCATCCCCAAATAAATAAAAAACCAATCGTTGACTGTAATTTTGATGAAATACATATTCGAAAATAGACCCTACTGACGAGTTGTGGCCAATGCTAGTGGTTTTGTGAATTGAAGTACGTGGAAGTGAAAAGAAAAAGAGATGTACAGTAAATCATTCTTCAGGCAACGCGCACCCGGAAAATTTTTTTCAAGTGATTTCCTGGTTCAAGTTATTTATGTGCAGCAAACATTGCCAATTGATGCCAGCGATTTTCGTATCATTAAAATTTCGATGACATTTTGTCGACTAAATGGAAATCCAGGTTACTTCATGCGTTGGTTGCATTTTCCACCCACCATTTCCAATATGATTTCCATTGCGGCGTTTTTCCCTTGGATGGCAGCAAAGTATCGGGGTGTCGCCTATTTGAGGGCGTGCGGCGTATTATCGCGGAACTAGGATAACCTTCATAAATCGGCGCAGTAGGAACAAAACCCTTTGAATACAGAAGATACTCGGACCCTGTGCCCTTCCATCGGACAAGAAAAGAAGTGGGACGCTTGTCATCACTGGTCATTCACTTTTCAAGGACGAGAAAACCTAATTGTAGAGGAACAAATATGCCTCTGACTGTTCAAGAATGCTCTGTCAGCATGAAACGAGAATGACGCTGCACTTGCGATGTGTTTCCACGCCTTTTCCGACGGCCAAATATACCACCAGTTCATATGTGAACTGTGAATCTGTGTCAGTATCGATTAATTTTTTGCCTCACATAAGCACGAAGCACAGAAATTCATCCCTCTTTTTCTGGTGTACTCAGACACTGATCAGGAAGTATTATTGGCCTACTTCAGGCTTGTTTCTAACCGGGACAGAATAAAGAGATGCTGATGAGGATAGATTATTCTAGAAATATAGAGTAATTCACTGTCTCCTCATTTTTATGTACAAGATATACAATACGTCTTTATGCATCTTCATATACTTGTACGTGTACTGTAAAAACAGGGTTTGACGCTTCTCCTCAAATATGAACCACAGAGGAAAAGAAAGTAAGACGCATTATAATTTTATTTTTTGTTCTATTTTTACTTCCCGGCATATTTTCTTGATTAAAATTCACTTCAATTTTACTCTATGTGTCTCCGGGTTTCCAGTGGTTATCTATTTTTTTTTTTGTCATGAAACATGAAACGTATATTTCCCCTTTGCTAGTGCAAGTTTTTTCTCCGTGCTCTTATTGATGATTGCCATGCCTTCTTGTAGCATTCTGTTTTGTGGTGCAGTTCTGCTCTGCTTTCACACGCAAAATGAGGATTAAGATAGTATCTACAGTACGTTCATCCGTACGTATCGGGCACCCATGAGGCTGGAGCCTTTCTTTTTTACTACAGTACATGATTGATTTCAACACATTAAATGTTGCATTTGTTTATCCCTCCTGGGTGTACTACTTGGCTATTAAACTTCACTATCTAATTCGTGTGGGTCACTGATTGAAAAGCGTTGTAATATTGTACATTAAAATTTTTCGAGCGTCAGGGCACGGAAACATGAATAATCCGAATAAATACAGAACATCAAATAAATCCGCGTCTAATATACTTAGAGAGCGGTATACCTCATAGTTTTTCGCAAGATTTGCATTGCCTCCAGATGAACCTAAATTACCACCTGCTGGGTGCTGCAGCACCACAAGTGGCACGGGTACTACGGATTTGAAAGCTATGAAATAGATGTTTAGGATAATGTACGATCGCCCTTCTCGGAGAAATGTAATGTTTCTTATACTTCGCACAAGTTTCAAACTTGATTCGGTAATCGCGGTCATTGGGAAATTATAATCATGTGCTCAACTCGGCTTGCGTCAGCCTTTAATGCACCTCATGAAATCTTGCCTGATCAAACGAGACCCAAATCAAAGCTCCGATTCACTCGCTTTAGCAACAGTAAAGGCGCACACATTCTCACGCTCATGGGTGACTTCGAATATTAGGAAAAAAGACACGGATGTTTGCTGACTGAATGAGTTCCATTCATTAAATGGCGCTACATTTTGGGAACATTCCATTACACTGAGACGCGACGAGCTTCGAATAGATCCGTGGAAACGGATGATAATCTTCTTTTGGAATTGAACCCTCAGTCCACTGTGCGTAGGAACCACACGAAATTAGAAGTTGAACTCGTAATTAACGCATTCTTGCCTCGTATAGCTCCTCGCACGGATGATAACGTCGACCTGTTTTTTTTCCGTCTTCACGCTAGTGCTTTGTGAGGCAGGGAGAACTTTGCTCCGCCGCCATTGAACCGCAGACAGCTGACTTCTCCCACTGTGTAACCTTCGTTGTGTTTATGTGGGGCTATCCTCTCCCGGGTTCTTCTTTCGGTCCTGCCGCTGGTTTCTCAACAGAATCATCCGCATGGGAATGACCTCGCGTCTAGAAGCCGATGCCTCGCCAGGAAAAAAAAAAATAAAAAGACGAGAGGGCCAGTCCAGTCGACTTGGCAACTCGCGAACGCGGCTCCACATGCTTTCGACTTCCCATGCGCTTCCGAGAAATTTACATTCGCCTCGAGAAATCAGGCAGTCGTGCTCTGTTTGTTTTTCCGGGGTTTTGTGGCAAAGAAAGAATGCCGAATACCATAGTTATTCGAATATGAGACGTCGTCGAATGTACTTTCCAGTTTCTATTCTTTGTTCTTAGAAAAGATCTGCCAGCGAATGGAAGACTTCTTTAAATTACCGTATGTTATGCAGGTGGCCTCTCTCTCCCTCTACCTTGATCTTTTCTAGAACAATATTCTCTGTAGAACCATTTTTTTTTTTTTTTTTTTTTAGGTTCCATAGGGGTCTCTACTCATGTTAGAGAGGTTCTTCGCGACGAAATTCCCTCTACAGCGAAGGCTTTTTCTGGCCCCTTGCATTTCGTTGAAGAGAGTTCACCTTTATCCAATTTATTCGCTAGTACAGGAGTCTCTTGATTATGATAAATGAAACTCGAATACTGTACAACATTTACTCGAAGATGAGTCCCATCGGTTGTAATGTATGGTTTCTATTTTCTCTTCTTCAAAAATGAAAAGGAGCCTGCGAAGGAAATACTTTTTTCGAATTAACTTATATTCAATGTATTCACTATTGTAGGAATCTCTTGGTTACGGTATTTTGCGGTCATGCCTCGGCAACTAGCTTTGACTTCGCAAGAGTTTTCGTTAGAAGTAAGGATTCCAATTTATTTGTCCTTAAAATGGGTGCGGGGCTTCGTCTAATTCAATTATATACAAATTCATCCATGCTTTTCCGTACTTAAATACACATTTCCACATCCTTTTAAACTGTAAGTACTGCAGTTTTATTGTGCTTTCAGAATAACTGTCGTAGCTGTGGGAATCTGGTTCCTCGGGGGTTTTTAACCTGCAGAATTGTCTACCAAGCCCTGGTGTAATCAACGATGTGCCTCGAAAGTCCTCCCAGGAGTGTAGTTTCTCTATAAGTAAAGTTGAGGACCCCTGGGGATCATTATAACATCCTATTTTCTTTAGTTGCTGCACGGTTATTGCGGGTTGACGTGGATAAAGGAATGTTCATTAAAACTTTGCATTGTGCTAGATTCAGACGATGCGTTTACCCGACTTGTCAGCGAAAGACCTACGTTCAAAAACGTCATGATAGAATGGAGTCATCGAGGTTCTTTGAAATTTTTTCGGCTGGCGAGCAGTAATATTTTTTAAGCACCCGTACGAATGTTACCTGGAGAAAAAAATGCTGAGGGTTGGCTAGGAAGGTGAGCGGATGTTTCTCTTCACCTCATTCTAACAGGCATAAGATCCTGAGAAGCCGGCTCAAAAAAATTAATAATTCAACACGGCTTCATGGCTTTTTACGCTCCACCCGCCACCTTGAAGCAGACCGACGGTCGGCTCAGGGCCGCAGGTCATGCATTTATGAGAGCGCGGGAGATGATACCGGAAATCAAAGAATTACTGCGAAGCTTGTAGAAAAATTAGTTTTGCTCAGCCAATTCCACTTGTAACTCGTGTGGTTTTTTTTTGTTGCTCACGTCTGGCTTAACAATTTGTTGACGAAAAAGCCCCGAAAACGGCAACTGAACGACTCTTAACCGAGTCATTTTGTCCAGGGAAAACGAATAGATTTCGAAAAAAAGGCGTGCTCTTCAACCTATTTCGAAAGTCGCATCAGGGATCTCTGGAGTTTTGTCGTAAAAATTGGCTTTAATAATCAGGTTGCGTCAGGATTCTTTAGAAATTCATGGAATTCATTTCCAAGCTAACCGGCGCCTACCTTTGAGTTAAGCTTGGATAACTCGGGAAATCCGGAAATTTAACTTACTTTTCGACGAAGAGAATGCGAATAGTTCTCATTCACGACCATGACCCGAATATTTTATTTATTACAGATTACTCATTTTGCTCTATCTGTAGATGCATCGATGTAATTTAACGCGTGAACTCACAGCTGTTCATTTTCTGTGAAATTCGTCAGAAAAAATGCGGAGCATGAATTTATTTCCTTGTTGACGAGATCGAGAAAATAAAACGAAAAAAACAAATGCAGGTGAAAATACAGTGAATGAAAACCAGGAAACGCTTTCCGGCGAAGCCACATCAAAACTTGATAATATATTGGACCGGGAACATCAATTTCGAAGGACTGACGAAAAAATTCATCGCGCGGAAAAGTAATGAACAAAAAAATCCCGAAAAATTATATTCCCATCAATTTGGACATTGCACTATGCCATGTG